TCCATGCAGCAGAGTTTCCTAACCTATAAACATTAAAAGTTTTTTTTTATTACACAGCAATGAACAATGTTTTTAGCTTGAAGAAATAATAATTAATTGCAGAAACTTGTATTAGTCTGTTATGGAGTCGTTTTTTGGTTCCAAGGACTGGTCAGCCAGTATCTTCCAATACTTATGACCGGTAGCAAAGTGCTGAGCATTGAAGGATCATTACATTTTCAAAATGAAACATCTTTTAGACTCTTCTATCAGAGTGTGAATAACTTTTATTTAAAAACTTTGCCATATTGTCTTTAAATAAAGAAAGTAAATGGATATGATGAATTTTCAGGATTTTCTTTGAATTAAGCACATTTGTTAAAATTAAGCAATTTTTTTTTTTCACTGTGTCCCTCCGCGGTACCAAATAACCTATGGACTGGTACTGGTCCACGGACCGGGGGTTGGGGAGCCGTGATCTGTACAGTCTTCCATTTCAACGGAAACTGTATTGCTGATGTGGCCCTTGGCTCTACCTCCTGCGCCGAGCCCACTCATATTTGGACAGGGAATGTGAGAATACTCTTCCTGGATTTTTCTACCGCCTTCAACACCATCTACCCATTTGTACTCCAGGATAAACTGACACGAATGCAAGTGGACCCATGTCTTGTTGCCTGGATTACCAGGCAATATCCTACCTCACAGACAGACAGTATGTCAAACTGAATGACTTCACATCTGACACTGCAGTCAGCAACATCAGAGCACCGCAGCACCCTACATACCTCTGACTTCTGGTACAAGTTCTGTTAAGTGTTCTGTTCAACGACAAGCTCCTCCTTCCAAAGAGCAGAACCAACAGACTTAAAAATGTCTTTGTCCACGAGCAATCTAAACTGATCTCAATCTTAATTTCGATCACTATTATTTTTGTATAATAGTATAATATTACTATATTCTAAGCTACCTACTAATCTACTTACCTACTTATTTACTACATCCACTGTTTTTTATTGTATATTATTTAATCTATTCACGTGTTATTCCCAGTGTTGGGCACGTTACTTTGAAAAAGTAATTAGTTACTTCTAATTACTTTTTACTAGTTACTTCTCTCACCAAAAGGTAACTCAGTTAGTAATTGAGTTACTCCACTGTAAAAGTAACTATTTACCAGGGGAAAATAACTATTGCGTTACGTTTTTAAATGTTTTAAAAATGTAGAGTAGAAAAGCAAAGACAGGTGCCTGAGCAGAGGTTTTATTTTATTACACCTCAACATACAACAACTGGTACAACTGTTTTCTTCCTCACAAAAGTGATTAATTAAACTTTTAATGAGGCACTGTCTTCTCTGGAGTCAAGATTTTACAATTGAACAAGAACCGAAAAGAGCATCTTATTTCACTATTCATCCAACAGCATGCACCTGGCAATGCTTCATGTCCATCAGCGTTCCTCTTTCAATGACACTTACACCAACACAAAGATATACACAGGGACATATTTGTCCTACAAAGAACGATTCTTTATACAAACGGACAGAGCATCCTTCTTGTGTCTCAGCAATTCATATTTATTGTTTTACAGATTTACTGTTTTACCGATTTGTTCAATTGAAAATATGAATGTGAATATATGAGTTTTCCACACGCACCACTAGGGAACCACTAGGGAACAACTAGGGAACTAACCAGGTTTGGGTTTTGTATTTGTATCCCTAACGGGAATAATAATAATGTAAAAAAAATCATTTTCATCCGAGGTGACCTTGATATTGATCTCTTGAATCCACACAAGCGCACAGGAAGATGAATTCCTTAATATAATGTACAGCACGAGCCTTTATCCAAAAAGCACCACACGGCAGAGTCACATGTCACTGTACCTCATTAATCGAACATTTTTTTTCTAACGACATTAAAAACAACACTCTCAGCGGACTATTGGTCATTGACATCAGTGGCCATTTGCCAGTCTTTACAGTCTTTATGATGACACATTCAAAGGACGTCACTCAGATACAAAAAAAGCAACATATAGATGCTTAAGGACAGATTAAACACTTAGAATTGACAAAATTAGGATGCTGAACAAAAGTGAACATGTGAAGATATTGGCCGATGGTCTGCCTGCTGGCCGTTGCTGCCTGATACACCTCCACTGGTGCCTTTTTGTGCAAGCGTGCTCTTCTGAACACAGGCTAGTAGCCTGAGTGTCACTAGTGGTGCCGACTTACCTCAAAGGTGGTTGTCCTTTCGGCATGGCCAAGGGGTTGGCATTGGGGTTGAGGCAGAGAGATACAGTAGTTGGGGTCACCCATAAACCTACCTTCAGGGTGAAAGGGCTGGGGTTTAAGGATGGGGTGGGATGGGTTGTCTTACCAAGCTAAGACTATTTGGGATTGGCTAAATGTCTCTAAATCTTTGTACTAATTCATTGAGACACACTTCTAAAATTGGCAGAGAACAGGACAGGTGCATTTGTATGTATGTAAATATACAATGCAGACTTTGACTTGTTAATGAGTGCACAGAGGTGGTTGTCCTTTCGGCATGGCCAAGGGGTTGGCATTGGGGTTGAGGCAGAGAGATACAGTAGTTGGGGTCACCCATAAACCTACCTTCAGGGTGAAAGGGCTGGGGTTTAAGGATGGGGTGGGATGGGTTGTCTTACCAAGCTAAGACTATTTGGGATTGGCTAAATGTCTCTAAATCTTTGTACTAATTCATTGAGACACACTTCTAAAATTGGCAGAGAACAGGACAGGTGCATTTGTATGTATGTAAATATACAATGTAGACTTTGACTTGTTAATGAGTGCACAGTACACAAATTGTAGGCTATGAGTAACAAATTTGAAGTATGTCTATAATTATATATATATATATGGGTAGTTATTTGGCATTTAACGGGGTGGTTATTTGGCATTTAACAGTATGATGGCGAGGGAAAAGAAACTGTTTCTGAATCTGGCAGTTTTGCAGCCAATGCTGCTGAGCCTCCTGCCTGACGTCACAGTGTCAGCGTGCAATGTCCTGGATGGGGAGAAGTGGAGTCCCAATGATCATCTGCGCTGTCTTCACCGCTCTCTGCAGAGATTTCCAGTGTGAGGCCCTTGCTCCTTGTACCAGACGGAGATGCAGATGGTCAGCAGGCTCTCGATGGTCCCTCTGTAGAAGGTGGAGAGGATGGGAGCACTTCTCATGATCTCATTTGTTTTGTCAATGTTCAGGAGCAGGTTCTTTGTCTGACACAAGTCCACCAGATGTCGCACCTCCTCTCTGTAAGCCAGCTCGTTGTCATCCTGAATGAGGCCCACAACTGTAGTGTCATCCGCATACTTTAGGACATGGTTGGTGTTGTGCCCGAGACGACAGTCATGGGTCATCAGGATAATACGATAAAAAAAACATTAAGGAAAAAAAAATCTGATTAAAATTACACATTCCATCGTCCAGCTAAATTATGACACAGGTGGGGCGTAAATTCGTGTGACTGATAAAGGAAGCAGTGATACCTTGATTTGAAGACGTATCTGTGGATGAATGCTACTCATTGCCATGACGTCACTGTCATCTACTACCTTTTTCTTTTTCTTTACAATTCTCAAACAGTTACCTTAAAGCGACAGTACATCATGAGGCCAGTTGAATCTAAGTTCAGCCAATAGGATTGTCCTGCCTTTCTCATATTTACGTAAATCTTTGTAGCAGTCTAGTATGAATGGTTTCCTCACGGTGCTGCAATATTTTTGGAAGCATGCCAGGTTCATCATTGGTTTTTATTGGTGTTCTGTCTTTATTTCCATTATAATGAATACTAGTTTCACCCAATCCACGTGATATCGTGCTCTTGATTGACCTAGCTTGGGAATTTTGGTGTGTGATTGTCCCATTCACTTTGTCTGTGTCAACAATCTCATAAGGTGGAGGGGTCTGTGCAGCCCTTGCTGCATTCACTGTCTGTCCTTTAAGCATATTAAAATCCTCCTGTGAATTTAACTAGACCAGCTAAGCTGGGATAGATCCCTGCAGTTAGCTGTCATCTTGTCTCATTTGTCTATTTAGTACACTTTCTCTGAGTTTTTTCCGGTACTTTTGGCCTTAGTTTTTGAACAAATTTAGAACTTCTACTCGAGCTCTCTTTTACTTTGTCTTTTCTTAATTGTATCTTTTGGCTTGTAATCTTTGATTCTTATTTCCATGATCTCTCACACATCTCTGCATCAAATGTGCCATCCATAGGCCAGGGCGTGGTCATGCTTGCTGTACGTTTTGCCCATTTTTCAAAAAAATCTTGGGATTTCTTTGATATGTTCTGGGAACAGCCATTGTTATGTTACTACGTTGTGTTCAGATTCAGGTTGTTTCCTATTAATTACTCATCACTGCTACAGCATACAGTATACAGTCACAAGCCTTACGGAGAGTTTCCCATTCTGGCCATTATTCACAGCTGCTGCCTAATCCAATATTTCAAATTCTATACAAGTACACAGCACAATGTTTATATTCATTTAGCAGCTGTTCCTGCATGCAGAGTCTAACGAGCCGGTGAGAGCAACGTCCCTATTGCCTTTTGTTCAAATTTTGGCAAGGACCTCAGTGCTTACTAGATGAGGCTGGAAGCCAGCAACGGACAAGCATATATGCATTAATAGGAGGAAAAGTTCCTACCTGTTGCGTGCTTTGCACAGCCGGTCCAGTGACCCCGGCCTTCAAGGTTAGGTGGCTTAGAAAGTCAAAGGCAATAAAAGGAAAAGATAAATATTGCCAAAAGAACACAGACATGGGACAGAGAAAGATATACTAGAGTGGCCAGCGCAGTCAGTAGATCTCAAGTTGTGGGAAGTACTTCAGGAAGTGTAATTTCTTCAGATTACACCAACATCATTTATTTTTTTCTTGTTTGCTTCTTTTGGTGGGGCTGGCAGTTTTGTAATTACTTTGTTTTATATAGTTTGTATGTGTTTAGAAAAGCAGAAAAATATATATAACTAAAGTGATAAAAATGAAACGGACATCTCTGTAGTTTTTATATTTACTTTTTAATCACAATAAATACCTTTGCATTAAATTAACAATACACTTCGATACAAATTTAAATAATATGCAACCAAAATAAACGTACGCATAAATAGAGTAAAGGAAGTATAAGGGACACAAGATGGGATAGGTAAGTCATTCACATCCTTTAATTTGTGTTTTATTACTAATAATATAGGACATCAAGAAAACAAAATGCAGACAAATCAAAAAATATAAGTTCAGAACGTAGACCAATTGATCGATGTTTAAATGAAAACTTTTCAAAATAGGCTTTTAACGTTTCTTTTTGTTTGACTAAACCACACACTGCTTTAGACTAGTCTTCACTGCTGATGTTGGACTATGGACCTGACACAGGTGCATCCCACTGCCATAAGGCGCGACTCGAGCTTAAAGTAATAGCTGTGCTCTGTACTATTTGACCGCATGCGCCGCAAAACCAGGACCTGCTGTATGATAGCTGTTGACTTCAGGTTCCGGTCCTCAATGCCCTGGGAGTCCAGACAGCCTTCCAGCAAACACTGAGCCTCCATTAGCTGGGGGAACAGACTGTCATCTTTGGAGACGCTAGGTATAGATGAGAAGGAAAAGAAAAAAATGTCCAATAAGGCCATGTATTTTATATTCAAAGGATCTAACCTTAGTTAGCATTGTTCTTAATCTTAGCCAAAGTGTGCTTTCATACTTGTAGGACCACGGAGATATTGAACAGTTCTCAAGTGATCTTATGGTATTGTTAAGAACCAAAGACCGGTTATCGAGTTGAAGAGGAACTGTTTCCGTTGGCGCACTGGCAGATTTCTTCTTTGGTTTCAGTGAGCGAATTGTGTTCGAAGTCGCCGTGGTTTCTACGAGCACCATTACCATCAGAATTGTGCAAACAGAGGCCGCCTGAGGAGAAAAAAAGAAAAAGACAAATGTTTCTGATGCACAATGTGGAAAAAAAAAAAAAAATGAGGATGCGAAAACCAACGAAATCATGAAGAAAAACATCAAACAAAGTAAATATATGCAAAATGAATAGCTTTCAGATACTCTACTGCTTATATTTGAATGATCACATGGGAAAGTTTTATTTTCAATGCTACTAACAGTAGAGGGAAGTTGAATATCATAAATCACACAAAGCTTTCAGATACTCTACTGCTACTGGAAAGTTTTATTTTCAACGCTATTAACAGTAGAGGGAAGTTGAAGCATTTATATACAGAAAATAATTAAACACATTTAAAACTGGGAAATTACAAGTCATCTGTGAAAAACAATACTAGAAGAAAGAGCCACTCTTACCCGCAATGTTGAGTCGACAGTTGAAGACATACTGAATAGTCTCCTTCTGGAACGACCGCGACTTTCTTCTGTCTCAGACGTGTTACGTAATGCAAATATTCAAGTAGGTCTTCGCTTCTTTCAGTATGGCAGTGGTGCTGTGAGCAAGGTTTAAATCCCTGCCACAGACGCTTGCTTTCAACCTCACTACAGCTCAGATGCAGCTTTTTATCTTTGTAGGATCCAATATCAGTCTTTCTCTCTCTCTCTCTCTCTCTCTCTCTCATTCTCACTCTCACTCTCTCTCTGTCTGTCTCTTGTTTTTCTTGCTGACTGGCTCGGTGGTTGAATCATTTTGCACGCATCATTTGCAGAATGTAAATGGGTCACAATGTCTCTGCAGTGTAGGCTCTTTATCCTTAAACGTCACTATGCTGAAAAAGGTCTGAAGAATTAGTGCCACTTCACTGCCAGGCCTGGAACATTTGACATTTTCATATTCTTCATCAAGTATGTAGGGATGTTGTTCAGTTAGATTTGCAGCCATAGATAAAGTAGCCATTGAAGTAAAACTAAGTTAACACATTAACAGTTCACAGGTTTCAGATATAATATAATAATCTAAACAATATTTGAAGGTAGTTGTTGACCTAGACTAGCGTCCAAAAGTTTGGGGGGTCACTTAGAAATTCACCTATTTTTGAAGGTTTTTTTTCAATGAAGATAACTTTAAATTTTTAGCAAATAAATATTGAACTATATTGATCCCATGTTTGGGAAAATTCTCGCGTTAACACCAGATATGCTGTTAACAGGCTGCCCCCAGCAAGCGCCAAAGCATGCGGTTCCTCTGGAAATCATCCCAGGATTCTCTGCTCTCTGCTTCCGAGGCAGGTGCACTATGGAACCGACTACGCTATGGAATCGACCAAAGTAACCATCGCTCCAGTTTTACTAGGTACATTGTGTTTGACGATTGCATAAGAAGGCTATTGAATGATTAGAAAAACCCTTGAAAATCTTTGTACAATTACAACAGCACAGCTGAAACATGTTTTGCCGATTCAAAAAAAGCTATAAAACTGGCCTTCCTTTGAGCTAGTTCAGTATCTGGAGCATCCCAACTGTGGGCTGGATTATACTCTCAAAACAGTAAAGAATGTGAAACTTAACAATCTATTCTTGGTTCTTAGAAATGAAGGCCAGTCCGTGCGAGACATAGCAAAGAAACTTAAGATATCCTAAAATGCACAGGGGTAGAAAGAAGTGGGAGGCCCCGGACGACGACTTCAGACGACGAAGTTCATTAGAGAAGTACCTTAGGAAGCGTGGGGTATAATTTCTTCAGATTACCTCAGCGAATGACCGTAATTTCTGGACTATTGAGTGCACCTAAATGTAAGCTGCAAGTCAGGAGTTGACAAGGTAAAAATAGTGGGCAAAGAAATGTTCAAAGAAAAAGGGGGTAATGAAAAAGTGGAGTAGTCAGGGAGAGACAAGAATACTATCAGGTTAGAAAAGAGCACCTTCCATTGTACCGTAATTTCCGGACTATTGAGTGCACCTGAATATGAGCTGCACCCACTAAATTGAAAAAAAAAAATCAATTGTACATACAGTTAGGCCCAGAAATATTTGGACAATGACACAAAAAAGTGACTTTAAGTGTAGACTTTAAGGTTTAATTCAAGGGGGTTGAACAAAAATACATGATTAAACATGTACAGTAGGAATTGTAGCCATTTTTTTTTTTTTACAAACACTCCTCATTTTAGGGGCTCAAAAGTAATTGGGTTAATAAACATAACCCTAAATGAAAATGTTACTTTTCAATATTTTGTTGAGAATCCTTTGCAGGCAATGACTGCCTGAAGTCTGTGACCCATGGGCATCACCAATCGCTGGGTTTCCTCCTTTGTGATGCTTTGCCAGGCCTTTACTGCAGCTATCTTCAGTTGTTGCTGCTTTACATTTTGTCTTGAGCAAGTGAAATGCATGCTCGATTGGGTTAAGATGTGATGATTCACTCAGGCATTGCAGAATATTCCACTTCTTCGCTTTAAAAAAAACTCCTGGGTCGCTTTTGCAGTATGTTTTGGATCATTGTCCATCTGTGCCGTGAAACGCTGTTCAATCAACTTTGCTGCATTTGGCTGAATCTGAGCAGAAAGTAGATCCCTATACACTTCAGAATTCATCCGGCTGCTTCTGTCTTTTGTCACAAGTCTGAGTCAAGTCTCAAGTCAAGACTAAAAAGTGTCAAGTCAAGTCCCAAGTCCTTACGTTTCCGTTTCGAGTCCTTTTAAACAGTTGGTGAAAAACACTACAACACACAACAAAATGTGACCTTTGTTTTTTAACCCGTCGCCAAAGTGAACAGCTGTGTCACAATGACAGGTAGTTCACTTTCCCCCTTTTCTTCCTTTCACAGTGCAGATGGCCCTGTGATCTGCTACGAGGCCGAAGCTAACATTAGCTCCGGGGCTAACTGCCTTCACTTTGTGCTTGTCCGCAGCAGAGGTAAACAGAAAACAGGGAAGTTGGGGTCTTTATTATCAGCACCAAGCACAACATTACACAAACAGTGTTTTAACAGCTCCTGTATAACCAACTCAAGCTTCAACATGACAAGGGCTCAAACTGCTCTCAACATTCGCTACCATTCTCTCTTTTGCACAGGCTCCACACACGTATTCACAGACAGGCATACGCTACTAGCATAACACACAGTAGCCCACCAGGAGTCAATGATCGCTAGCGGTATGAACTTCGTTAGCCCGTAAAAATCCATAAATTAGCCGCATCATTGTTTAAGCCGCAGCGTTTAAAGCGTGTGAAACAGTAGCTTATAGACCGGAAAATACGATTTTGTTTGTTTGTTTCTAAAGATCACATGATATAGCCCGTTGTTGGAATTTGTTTTGAACTAGAAACAACAAATTGCCTCGCCACTTTAGAAAACACATGCTGAATGGAACACAAGAAAGGCATGGAAAATAAATAATAAAATAAACCAACGATAGAATTACACAATTCAGATTTAGAATTGAGACTGGTCAATTTAAGTGCAAGTCCGTTGTTTAGTTCAATGTCTCTGCAATGTACGCATGACAGTCGATTCGCCTTTACAAAACCTCTCCGAATTTTGACCCTGAGAGTCTTGAGAAGTTTTCCTAATGGGTAAAAAAAAACGCTGATAACTTTAGGTAATCAGATTAAAGTCTGATCTGAAGATTTACCACCGCCGCCATTGTCACTGTTTCCTCTCAGACGGCAGAAGTAGGTCAAAATAAAATGCTGATGGGTCAGGTCAGACCTCAGAAACTACCACTTTGAAAACAAAACCACATCAAGCTCTCTGATGTCACCGGCCCCTTAGAAAACTTGTGGAGACAGGAGTTTCACTTTTGCAGTGTGTTTGAAAGAGAGAGAGAGAGAGAGAGAGACAGACAGACACACTTTTAAAAAAATGTAACAGTTATAAAATGAACAGTATATCATGAAAAGTTAATATTGCTTCATATAGATTTACATGTTTTTATTGATTTGAATTTTTTTTATATTTGTTCATATAAAACCTACTGTATGTCTGTGCCAGTTTTATTTAGAATGGGTTGCAGGCATCTGTTTCTACACATGTTCCTACTTATATATTTGATTAAGTTGGTCAATGACCAGCCATAATTTAACTTAATAACATAATTTGGACACGTTTGGCGGGCTGGATTAAAAAGCCAAAGGGGCTGTAGTTTGCCCATGCCTGAACAAGACACTTGGGGTAGGGATAGGGGCGTCCTCCAAGTGCTGGTCGCAAAGCCCAGCTAGCTCAGTTCAGGGGATTCATACCAGATACCAAGGATGTGGCCCAGGTTAATATAAACTCCATTGGAGTGAGAATCTCCATAAAAAAAAAAAGCTTTGTACTGACATTATGCCTTCTGAAAATGACATGCTGCTATATTGTAAGATGTCTTTTGACTCATTACTCTTTCACATAAGTCATGTACGGGGCAACTTAAATAGCAGTTAGCCATCCCAAAAGGTCGAATCCCAGCACTTTAAAAGAGAATGGACTGTAGACAAGTTACATTGTACATTGGCCATATCTTCATGGTCCTTAGAGGCTTTGCACAGGTAAACAGGTTGCTTTGTCAGTACCTGTCGTTAAACTATTTTAAATGGAACCTACATACATTGTCTGCATTGTGTGTTCAGCTAAATTACTTAACTAGCAGGTATACGCTTAGCATTGCTCACTAGGGTGATCAGGCATCCTTTTTTTTTTACCGAGAAAAGAAACCTTTTTGAGAACCAGAGACCTGTAGATTATTAGATTGATATCATTTTTGTATTGGTAATTGATTTTTAATAAACAGGTCTGTCTGTGTGGCGCTTTGGCCCAGAGGCAATGTCTCTGTCATTGGTGTGGAACCCCAGGGTTCACCTACTGGGCAAGTTTGAATCCCGGTTAGGGCAGTTGGTACCTTCCAGTGGACTGGATGTGATTTGGGTGGAGGTCATGGAGAATGCTACCCCCCGCGACCCGGTAACGGATAAGTGGATGAAAATAGATGGATGGAAGGTCTGTCTGTCTATCCATCCGTCCATGTGTCTGTCCCCTTTTGTTGTTGACTTAGTAAATTTACGACGGGCGCAATGAGAAACTGAAGTGCAGGAGTGAAACACATCACTGGCTGACATTCTGCAGCTGGTTATGTTAAAAACATCCCTTAAAATGATCAAGGGTCTTATTTATTGTAATTATCAAAGATAATTGTCTGTTTTCTTTCTTTTTTTTTTTTAAAGGAAGTTTTTATTAAAGAAGTTTCAGATCAACTCGGAACAGAAAAATTGACATTAAATGAAAAACAAACTTAAAGTAAAACCAAACCTAAATGATCGACCTACAATACAAACATATTAACATTTTCATACACACACTTTCCCTTTCTCACACTTCCAAACACACGTTGCTGACTCAGCTGTAATAAATTATATGTGCAATCCAGGTCTCCAACACACAAAGGCACGTGGAGAATTCACTCTGCAGCATTGGAGCCCGAGTCTACAGGGACAGTGGAAAAAAAAGAGAACACGATGGTTAAGAGAGGCAAAGATATAAACAACTTTATCAGATAAAGAAGGACGTACACCTAACTACAAGTTTGATTTTCAAAAAGGTTGATATAAGTCCTTTATATTGTTTTCTTTATTTAAGTACATGTGTCTCAAAGTTCTTAAACAGTTTTGGCAAGTTTTATCATTGCATACATGTCAAGCATGAGCAGTATATGCACTGCGTAAATTAGGGCCGGGGAGTGTTAATTAATTACCCCAATATGTACCAATACATTATGCCAGGGGTGTTAAACTCATTTCCCACATCAGCAATACAGTTCCCCTTGAAGGGTTGGTTGTAAATGTAAGACTGTATAAATGTAACTACTCCATAATGTATTAATACGTGCTTCTGCAATTGATTATTATTCATTTAGGATACAAATATTGTACATTGCTGTGTAATAAAAAAAAATAAAAAAAAAGATCTGGTTAAAAAAATTAAACAGCATAGACTTTACAATAAGGCAAACTAGTTTTGAGCTCCAGTGGGCCACACAAAATTACTTGGCGGGCCACATATGGCGCACGGGCCTCAAGTTTGACATATGAATTATGCATTCTAATTATTTTCACCTTTAATGTCGTGAGATTGGATTATATATATATATATATATACATACACATATATATACATATATACACATATATATACTGTAAATATATACATATATATACACGTATATATATACATATATATACACGTATATATATACATATATATGTATATATATGCATATATATATACATATATATGTTTATATATATACACATATATATATACATATATATATAGTAAGTCAGCAACTGCCTTAAGTTTATGTTGTACAATGTAAGTTTATGTAAATAAATAATCTCACAATCTTTGAACAGTTGGAGTGTATTAAATATTAAACACATCCAAAGAGTTTAGTTGTCAGCAACTGGACTTCTTCTTGGAGCTTGAAAGTCATTTCGTTCCTCAACTGAGGAACTTCATCAGTTTCTGGTTGATGTCAGAGGGAACCCTAGTCGTTTTACTACTGAATGCTCCTCTGGTAGGGACCTCGCATATGTAGTTTGTTAGATACAGTATTACACTTCTATGTGCTATATTTCGGACTTACTCTTTCCATCACAGGCGACGATCTTCACCTTGTCAACCTTCACCAGATCGGTCACCTCTCTGAATTCCACGTCGTTTAAGACAAATGTCCATACATTGTCACAAAACCTGTAGGTGTTCAGAGAGCCCTGGAGGAACCCGAGAGACAACCCATGTTAAACAAAATGTGTAAGTAGCAGCTGATGGCTACAAAATTTTTTTAAAAAGAGACAGAGCTATTGAAGACCTTCAAGACTGTCGTTCTTCAATTGCTGCAAGTGCGTCACCATCGTGTGCAATTGCACTGCATAAATTGTGAGTCAATCAAAAATAGAAGTTATTACTTGTACTGTTTGGGACATTTTTTGTTTGTGTGCTGTGGGGCTGTTCTAATGTAATATATGTGACGTGGATTAAAAGGAGTTGAGGATCATTTTAATTTCAAAATGTATTATTTAAATTAATAATAGTATTTGGGTAAAGTAATAAACTTTTTCAAACATGAACATACACACATTTTAAAAGATATATACTTTGCAAATGATGATGATATCTTTGCCTAACTATTTCCTATAGAGGACAACAAATAAAAATACACAGGAATCATCAAACTTATTCCACGTTATATTAAACCACATACAATGTCACCATACCACTGACACTGTTCATCTCTTTTCTGTACCACTACTCCCATCTAGTGACACCCGAAGGCCAAGATCTACATAACAAAATGTCATTTTGGTAATGCATGACAAAAAAAAGAAAGTTATATAAAGCTTGAATAGTTTTATGTTAAGCATTACAACTTGTGAAAATGTAATGATTTCTTAAGCTCAAATTTCTTTAATTGACAAAATAAAATATAACATCAGATGCTATTTCATTATAATTAAGCTTAAGCCCAAGGTTTCATGCGTGTTGTTTGGATTTCGTATTTCAAATACAAAATTATCTTCTTCTGCTTTCGGCTTGTCCCTTTTTCAGGGGTTGCCACATCGCATCAACCTTTATCATTTTATCCTGTTCTCGGCATGTCCTCCCTCACTGCCCCCATAAATCTCCTCTTTGGCTTTCCTTTGTCTCCTATCTGGTAGCTCCATCTCTAACATTCTTCTACCAATGTATCCACTGTCCCTCCTGCGCACATGTCCAAACCATCTCAGTCTGGCTTCTCTAGCTTTTTCTCCAAACCTTCCTGTCTGTGTTGTCCCTCTAATGACCTCATTCCTGATCCTGTCTATCCTTATCACTCCCAAAGAGAATCTTAGCACCTTTAACTCTGCCACCTCCAGCTCCGCCTCCTGTCTTCTGCCTATTGCTACTGTCTCTAAACCATACAT